AATGTTTGAACCAAGGTCTTTAAATCGAGAAGAAGACCAAAGTTGACTACAATCTGACAACGAGAAGCTGCATTCCGATTCAAATCCCGAACTCCAGCTTCAATTCCATTCATCTTTAGATTGGATTTCAACTTCACGATGAAGGATATCCAATTCAAGGCTCAACTTCACAATGAAGGGGTCATCCACAGTTTCAACCTCACGACAAGGGAATCATTTCGTGATTTAAATTGACAAACCAATCTTAATATCAGATTTCAACTCTACGGTGGAGGATATTCGATATGACCGAAAAGTGTCTTTTAATCTTTGCCCTAACCCCGTTGTACGATTATGAGCAAAGAGGGGCAGCTGTAGACACACTTTTTGACCAAATTAAAAGCATGCATATATATATTATTTTTTATTTGTATATGTTATATATATTATTAACAAACATTTTATTATTATTTACAGGCCAATGAACAGTTACAACCCATCAGGCTTAACAGTAACCCGTTTATAGTCCCTATAGAAACCCTCGTCCAGACGTTTATCCAAGCACCTGAGGACCCCTTGTGCTTCACGCCTCTCATGGCGCCGCAATGCCCACAACCAACACGCCTCAACCTCCCGAGTTCTACGACGCAAGGATCTCACAAAGCAACAGACAACGAGCGTTAACCATTTTACTCGGATGAAAACTCTCCAAAAATAGCATGTTATTTTGGACTATAAATAAAACGCTTGTAATCAGAATGGGGGAGGTCACAGAGAGTACACGCCGTATTACACACGATTACTGGCGAGAGATTTACACACAAAGATCACACACGAAAATACAGCGATTTCAAGGGAAAATACAGAGTTTTTTCTTCTTCTTAGAATTGTCATACGAAATACGGAGTATGGAACATACCCACATGCAACCATAAAGGAGAGCTTTTTCGAAAAAAGAATAAGAAACCCGGAAGAACCAAAACAGAGATCTAAACGAAAAATCCAAACAAAAAGGGATTCAAAGAAACTCACCTTTAGACAAAGATCCGGCCACCATTGTTTCGCCGGAGCGACCATATTCCAGCCTCGAAGGTTTCGAAATCTTCAGATTCTGGAACGAAATGGGTTGAAGCTTTTCTGCTTGGCTAATCTCAACTGGAACGGAAGAAATAATGGCACTGTTTTCGTTTTGGTTCTCTCCACCGAGAAGCATAACAAATCTTTGTTGCTGTAACTTCCATTGTAAATCTTGGTTTATGGAACTTAAAGACTCAATTGAAAAAGCAGGTTATTTTTAAATATTTAAACACTGCACTACATTTCGTGGAATTGAAAATAGATGGACAGCCAGAATATCAATGGAAATGCGTGTCATGATGGTGGTGATGTACTAAGTTATTATATTTTATTCTTATTTTATTTTGTTATTTTTTTCTTTTCTTAATCATATATTTTTTATTATGTTTTCTTTTCTTTTGTTTTTTATTTCTTTTCATTTTTTAAATCTAGTTAGTTTTTTATTTCTTTTTTGTGGTTTATTTAATTTATTTTTCATAATTTTACTAGTCATTTTTGTATTCCTTTATTATTTATTTCTATTGTAATCCTACTAATTTACTTTGGTATTCACATCCCAGGGAAATGGACTTCTAGCAAAAACCTTTGTAGTATATGAACTTTGGGTTTTATTACTACTGGGCTTCAGCTCATTTATTTATTACCCATTAAACTCATCTATTCCTCTTGTTTGCTTAGGTGGTTTCTTAATTCTTTAAACCCCTCTTGATTCTAGCAATTTACCAATCCAAAAAATACTATTTGTTATAGAACTCTTATGAACAAAAATATTTTATTATTATTTTATTATTTTGTATTTTCTTTATATTTTTCCTTTGATTTCTTTTTGTTCATTTATTTATTTATACTTTTCTTTATTTTTTATTTTAATTTTTTTTAGTTTTTCTTTCTTTTGATTTATTTAGTATTTATTTATTTTCTCTAACATTTTTAACTTTGTAGAGAAATTCCAACTGATCAAAGGTAAACAATTCGAATCAAATACGTTTTAAATTTAAATTTAAATTTCAAATTTTTGCAATTAAGACAACCGATAAATTAATTGGTACCGAAAGAGCGGTTCAAGGGTGCTAATCATTCCTTAACCGTAACTGACTCCCGAATCCGATACTTTTCTGGTTAAACGCAGATCATGTAAGATGGTGTCCGACCCACCTAAATTTGTTTTAAAATGGTCGGTGGCGACTCTAACCCACTCATTTCAAGTCGAAGCCCAATTCCGGGTCCAACCGAAAGACGGTCGTGACAACCTTAATTAGTGCTTAAAAAATTAATAAATAATAAGAAAAATGTTTATTACTATGTGATGAGCTACACGGGCAAAGCTCTTCGATCCAGTTGTGTGAGTAAACTTTTGTTGTTGTCTACTAGCAATATTAGTGTGCTTCCGATCTTACAATTTGAAATTTAAATGACTTATAAAGTGAAAATTATAGTGACATAATATTATTTTTTAAAGTTCATCATACCTCTCCTTTCTTTGAATTCCAAAACCTGAGTATATTTTCCCATTGTCACCTGAGCATTCCAGGTGGGAAATTTTGCAGCTTTTGTTCTAGATTGAGATCATTTTTAAAATATTTCTTTTTCAATGAACTCTTGTGGTCTCTCCATTTCTTTCCTAACATCTGCTTCAAATATTAATCTAAAACTTCTAGAGTAAATTTGTCCTACAAATAACACAAGTGTTAAAAATAAATATAATAATGATTTGTAATGAATTATCTATTACAATGAAATTATTACCTTACTACAATCTAGAGCATGATTTTTGTAACTATTCGTCATCTCATGCATGACTGATAATTGATTTGTTGAATATTAGCATTGCATGCAATCACGCCTAAGTAACCAGCCAGAACACATGCTTTTGTCCCAATAGGTTGGTTGACATCATTCCTCGAAACTTTGATATGGTCTCCAGCAGGAAGTTCGTATAATTTCGTCATTATCGTGCAACCTCTAGTCTTGTGCCTTTGACCATTTTCAAATACATCGATAACACCCTAAGGATGAAGCATGACAGGGCTCGATGCTCTTCATTCAGGGATCTCTGACATGCACAAATTTTGTTCCGGAAGATCGGAATTCTTTTTGTCATTTTTGTGAGAGATGAATTGTATCGCGGTGTTCCTTTTAGCTATTCTTTTTTTATCGATAGTGAATAACACTGACCTCAGAATGAATGTAGGTTCATATAGCCAACAACTGAGTCAATAACACACCATGCTTTGTCGTTCGGACATTTCCTCGTCGTGTCGGTAAGTAGCCGTATTGAGGAATTGTTTGGTCCAAAACAATCCGAAAAGTTGATTACACTATATAGATTCATATTTGTTACTCCTAGGCTGTTGTTTTTACGTGGTTAGGAAGTTTGTTCTTAGAAATTTTCGCTCTTTATTCTTCATATGTGATTTGGTTGTGGAAAATGTGGCTTCATATCTTATGCAGCCACCAAGAACATAATGCTTTGATAACAAATATACAACAATGTGAAATAGTATATAGTTTGTTTTTACGAGGTTTTATTTGAATGGACGGTTAGATCAATTCTGTTGGTATTGAAAATATCGATGACTGCGAGGTTTTATTCGATTTGATTTAAATTTCATAAAATTAATTGAATTCAAATTTTTTAAATAAAGTTTGAATGATGAAATGGTACTCCTAAACTTGGGTAACTCAAAATTTTTCACACAACTCGATCGAATACTCACCCCTAATCATAACTATACCAAAATATTAGTTAGGGTAATTTACATTATTTCTCACTGAATTTTACTCTCCTATTTTAGTTATTGTACTTTCAATTTTTTTATTTTACTCAATTAAGTCAAATTGTTCCTATTTTGATCACTTTAAATATTTTATTATTATTTTTGTATGATGTGGCATTACTATTATTATTTAATATAAAAATATTATATTATTATTAAATTTAAAAAGACTTAAAATAATCACCGTCGACCACCATTGACATTCAAAATAATAATAAAATGTTTTTATATTAAATAATAATAAAAATATCATGTCATATAAAAATAATAATAAAACAATCCAGAGTGATCAATTCATGAGTAATTCGGAAGTTTATGGTAAGTAAATTTGTACATATTATAAATTATGCGTGAATTATCAACATTTTTATAAATTATACGTGAATTATCTTCAGAATTTATATTTATTTATTTTTATTAAATAATAAATTTAATTTATAACTTAAAATATTAAAAATCAATTTATTGTTTACAATTTTATCATAATATTAATTTTAAATCAAAATCGATAACGACAAATAATTTGATGATTCCTAAGTGTATTGAATTATTTTTTATTTAAAAGATTAAATATTGCAAATTATTACCGTTGAGTTGGTAAAGAATTAATGGTCAGCCATTCATGGTAATGACAGAAAATAATTAATCAATTTGAGATTTTTGTTTTCTCCCAAGAATTCTACCGTTTTCCATTTGGGTCCACTTCTTGTCATTTGGCTGGTATAGAACGTTGTTACCTTTTATTCCACTTATTTCTTAAACAGTCCCTATTAATTATCTGAGGTGGATTTTCCATATTATTATCCTAAATATTTTTTATTATTTAAATAGCCCTTCAAATTTTATTCTATTAACATAAACAATACATGTTACATTATTGGTTAAACATTATATATATATATATTATTTGATATATTGGGAGGGACAAATTATACAAGTTCCAAATAATAGGGATTGAAGTCTAATTTTAAATACCGATGAAGATCTAAAATGTTATTAGATCAAAAAATTTGGAAGGGACAAAAAACTCCTCCTACTCTTCATGTACTTTCTTCTCAGTCCACAAGAGATGTTAAAAAGTCATCTGTATATTGAATTTGTAAGAAGTAAATTATAAAACAAATATAAAATTTTATTAAAATCGAAGAAAAGTTTGAGTTGTCAACACTAAGGGGATGAATAATTTTGCAAATTGTCAACAACGTGGTGATAATTTGGATCAGAAATCCAAAGTTTAGCAATGTAATGATGGGATGCAAATTGCCTATTAAATTGTTCAATAACCCACACACTAGCTTCAGCTCTGCTTGAATCAATGGCGTTGCCAATAGGCGGCTTCATCATCTCTTCATTGTTGCCTCTTGATTCATCCCATTGCTTCAATAGGATTTGTGTTAGGTAATGCAATGGTTGCTCATACTTTTGCTTCATTGATTCTCCTAATTTTTGCCATGTGATGAATGATGGTTCAACAAAAACCATAGCCGGAACCGGAACCAACTCCGGCTCCGGAATCGGGAACTTCTTCATATCTTCTTGATATTGTTTTGCTTCTTCCATCACTTTATTTTCTACCATAATTATAAAAAAATAATCGACAATATTGATTGGTTCATAAAATTAAGAAGAAAAATTGAAGAATAAAATTTACCTTGCTCTTCCTTTAATGCTTCCTTATATTGACTGCTTTCTCCATTAGCCTTTTTATGATTTGATCTCTTACCTTCGTTTTTGATAGATTTTGTTCTATTATTACTCCTAATTTTTTTATTTAAATGATTATGGGGAATAAAATCGTTTAGATCATTATCTGATTCTGTCTCTGAATCTGATAAAAGAAGATGATCGTTTTTCAGAGGATATAATCGTTTCAACATCTTATAATTACATGGGAAAAAAGAGAAAAGGAAAAAACGAAAAAGAACTAACATATACTAGGGTTTTGAGTAGTTCTAGATTTTTATACTTCGCGCTTGAGAATTTTAAAAATTTACCATAAATAAATTTAATTTAATCATAACAAATAATTACTTAAATATTTATATTTTAATATTTTAAAACTAGTTAATCATATTTAAATAATCTTCATCTACTATATCAAAAATTAGATAAACAAAAATACAATATTGTTAGGATTTATGAAGCTCAATTGACAACAGAAAAAGTTTCAAGAGAGGTGAATTGACAAATTGTATTTAGGGAGTAAGGAGAAAGAAAAGATAAACAATTTTGAACAACGATTTATAGTAATTCAACTTCTCAACTAAGTCAACATCCACTACCTAAGCCCCTCACTTAGGATTTTCCAACAAATCCACTAATTTTATTAATATTTTCATATGACTTGGCATATTATATTAATATTTTATTATGGCATAACATATTTTATTAATATATAATTCCATGTAATATTTTAAATAAAAAAAGAAAATTAAAATCCTTAAATTACAAATCCTATTCCTCAAATCAACCACCAATGTACAAATCAAAATAAAGCCTCCAAAACCTCCGTCCGTCGGCTATTTTCTTTCCTACCACTCTCCGTCCATCGTTTCTTTTCTTTCCGACCACCCTACGTTTGTGCCTTGATGAAGTGAATTTCATCTTGATGCTATTTTGATGCTTCGCCGCTCTTGTCGTAACCGGTTTTCGTCCGGACACGAAATGTTTCTTGACGGAAAAACGAGTGAATAAATAAATGATTTTTATTGAAATATTTTAGAGTCGCCATTGAACCTTTTGGGTTAGGTAGGTTGAATACCTAAAAAATCATCTTTTAAAATAGTTTTTAAAAAAACTATTTAAAAGATAAATCAGTCAGCGTATAACCAAAAATTAATTACTTTTAGTAATAAAAAAGGATTCGTGGTCGGTTACGTTTGGGGAAGGATTAACACCCCCACAACGCCCAAAATTGATACACATCGATTATATATTGTCTCTATTAGTGAAAATTTATGAAATCGAATATAAATTTAATTTATGATTCTATTATTCCAGATTCAATCGCATAATTTTATTTAACAGAAAATTCTAAGAAAAAATAGAAAATATTCAAATATTTCCAATCGAAGAGAAATTATTCCCTAAAATGTTTTAGGACGAATATTTCTCTTTCCGACCGAAATAATAAGAATGTGATAATTATTCCCAAGAAATAATATTAAAATAATTTGATATAACCAAAAATAAAATAAGCATATTTTTTAGGTTTTTATAAGCAGAGTATTTATTTATTTTAAAATATCAGAATAAGACATCTGGTTACTTTAAGACAATCATTTCTTAATATTTAAAAATAAATAAATATTATTCTTTAATTAATTTATAAAATCGATCAAATTAATTAGCATAAAGCATTAAAAAATAATTTAATGAGTACATTATCACACAATTTATGTAAAAATTACAAAAATCAAAGTTTAAGAATTACGAAGGTTAGAGTTTTGAAATTGAATTTAAAAAATAGTTTCTTACAAGTAATAATTTACTAACCAGAAACAAATTAAATGATAGTTTTATTAAAACTACTAACAAATAATTCAAAGGTTATGGTTCCCACTAGTAACAGTGTAGGGAAAAATGTGCGTAATGGGAACAAAATTTGACAACATACAATTATTAATGTCCACTGACTAATCATGCCAGCTTTATATCAATTTCAAAAATATACTATTATCACCAATTATGTCCACTGACTCTTAGCACTTTGTTTCTTATTACTATTATCTTTAATTACTTAATATTTGTATTTTAGTTTAACTATTAATATGTATTATTAGGATATATATATTCATGTAATTAAAATAAAAATAAAATAAAGAATAATAATTAAAGTAATAAATTTAAAATATTTAAACATAAAAGGTAATAATAGAAATAAAATAAAATTACAACTAAATAATAACCAAAATAAAAATATAGGATTAAATGAAAAATATATATAAATTATTGGTCCTAAAGGCAATTGAGTTTAAAATAGACATTCTCTGTATCTTCCATTATTTGCTTTGCGTGCATAGTGTAGTCTTGACTCTTATACAGAGAAATTTTTGAAAAGTCTTATATCAAACATAAAAAATTTGAATAAAAATCCACTTGAAGATTAAAAAACAAAAAGGTCTTTCCAAAGTGTAAAGTTCTCACTTTCAAATCAACAAGAATCACTACAATATCTAATTTTAAACAAGTATATTCATTTAGTAATTTTATACGTATAAGTATAAATATTATAAAATATAGATATTATTAATATAAGTTAACCATAATTAATTCGGGACTAAAATATAAAGTATCACTATATAAGGGACTAAATATTTAATTTTGCCTAAAATATATAAACATATAGGTATGGACTAAAATAAAATAAAATAAAATATGAAAACAAAATTAAAATGCATGGAAAATGATTAGGTGACCAAATTGAAAAGTATACAACATTACAAAGACCACGAGCATGATTTACCCGTTCCATAATTTACGTAAAGGCCCTTCTCCAAAACTACGTCGTTTGGAGAGGGGTATTTATACCCAAATTCGGCCTTTAGAGGACATTTCTCTTCTCATTTCCAATTTTCCTTCTCTATCTAAAAAGAGAGAAGGATTAGATGCTCTAGCATCTCTCTAAAAAAAAACCTCACCGGAGGGAAGTGATCACTACCGACCACCAATAACCACCGTCTACAGTCACATCTAGCCACCGTCACCGTGAACGGTGGCTGGGGTTTACAAAAATTCACCAAATCAACCCTCTATTTACCCTAAACTCAGATCTAAGCCCACTTTTTCCTAAAAATGAATCAGTCAGGCTAGATCTGAATTTTTTTACCTTCGAAATCCTAACATTCTGATGATGTGTGGAAGCTCCTTCGACTTTAGTAAGCCTTTTTCTTCTTTCTTTTGCTTATTTTTGAATGATTATCGTTGATTGTTGTGTTGCTTGGCTCTCTATTTTTTTTTAGGACTGGTGGATGGCCTTTTTATAGGCCTCATCGACGTTGCTCTCAAACTGGTCACAAAAGTGGCCCTCAGTATGTCACCGAAGCTATGGTGGTGACTCACCATAGGGTAACGACGTGTGCGGCTGGCCGAGCATCTTCTAGAGGCTTCAGTGTTGTGGCAGCAAATCATTGGAGAACATAGTGGATGGCCTTTTTATAGGCCTCATCGATGTTGCTCTCAAACCGGTCACAAAAGTGGCCCTCGGTAAGTCACCGAAGCTATGGTGGTGACTCACCATAGGGCAACGACGTGTTCGGCTGGCCGAGCATCTTCTAGAGGCTTTGGTGTTGTGGCAACGAATCATTAGAGAACATAGCAGCAGAGTGGTTGGCGTAGAAGCGGTGGAGCAGTTGGAGGGACATGGTGGCGCCGAAATCTCCCGAGAGTTAATGAACCCTAGGGTTTCTGCTGGGCTTAATCTAGACCGTTGGATCGTGCCAGATCCAACGGTGGAAAGGAGCTGGCGGCTAGGAGCTGATGATGAAAACCCTAGAAGCATTGGGCCTTCTCGGATTTGGGCCTGAATTGGGTCTGTTGGGCTTCCTTTGTAATTTGGGCTCTGAGTGATTGTATTTGGGCCTGTAAATTTATTTGTAATTATTATTTAATAATAATAATAATAATAATAATAATAATAATAATAATAATAATGTATGTGACAAAAACTTAGTGTTTATAGCTCTTCTATTTTTACTTAAAAAGTTAAACTTGGTTCATTTATTCCTTCTTAAGTTCCAGAATTTGGTGCAAATATTAGACCTTTTCTTCAATCCAATAATGAATGCCATTTATCTAAAATTTTGTCACTTGTGCTTCAAGGAATTTAAGTTTCTAAGCATAGATATGCTCCCATTTGCGGGTGCTTCATCAATTTTTCTTGAATCACCTACTTATTATATTCAAGTGGACGAAGAGTGGTCAAAAAATGAAAGGGCCGGTGGACGGAGGGTGGTTGGAAAGGAAAGGAACGATGGATGGAGGATTGTCAGAAAGAAAAAGGTTGGTGGTGGACTGATGGTGTAACACCCCAAATTTAATGAAATTAGGGATCAAATTGCAAGTTTTTAAAACTTACAGTTTGATTTAGAAGTTGTGGGATGTTCAGAGACTTAACCCTATATATTTTGTGAACAAATTGAATTTTTTTTGAAAGTTCAGTAAGTAAAATAGAAGAGAGAGTAACATTTTGTGAGGAACAATATAACTTATCCTATATATTTTGGTATTTAAAGCGAGAATTGTGTGTGTGTGTGTGTGTGTGTTTTTTTCTTGTTTAATTTTCATGTTTCGTTGTAACGAGTAACTGATTGATTGATAATAAAATTCATAGAATTTTTTTGACTAAGATTAAAATGGGGTTTTTAACGAGATCCTTTTAAAAAATGCCTAAAAATTCACAATTCACAGAGAATAAGTAACGGACCCTTTGTAGGTTATATAAAAAAACTTTTAGATAACATAGAAAGAATAAATATTTGGACCTTTAAATTCATAAAAACCATTAGGCATTATTCCTTACAATTTTGATCGAGGATATAATCTTAGATTTATTCATGACT